GGAGGAAGGAAGGAAGGAAGTCACTGCCTAATCCTACGAGGACAGTTTCTGATAGGGGATGCATTTCAAGTATTTCTACGTGGTCAAGTGGCTACAGGAGTGAACAAGGAACCTGGCCACTTTTGCCCTTACAGAAAGTTCTGAGGGCACCACAGGTCTCAAGGACAGGAATGGACAACACAGGGGGGCTTCACACAGAGGGGGCTGAATTCCAGGTGTTCTGGGAGGTGCTAAGAGGAAGGGGCAGTAGGAAGCACCTCTCATGATGATGCCAAAGTTAGCACAGCCCCAGGACCCATGATCCAGTCCCCGCTGAGACCAGCCCTACCAGGAATAGCAAAGTAAGGGAACCGCCATCTTGGGTGCTCTTGCTCAGAGTCCCAAGGAGAAGAAAGAGACAGGAGGCCGTGGGCAGAGACAAGACAGAGCTTTGATGTTGCCTGTGTCCTGTGGGAGTAGACCAGTCCCCATTTAAGGAGCCATGTGAGGGTGCTCAGAATCCCCAAGGCTTCTCCATGAGCCAGGGAGAAGCTCTCGTCCCCGCCAAGGTGTGGAGCTGTATCTGTTGTGTCAGAATATAATCCCACCCCAGCTCCTCCCTGCCCACCTACCTCTGCTCTCCACCGTGCAGACTGCCTCCAAGACGTGGATCAAGGGACCATTGGCAGTGTCTGAGGACTGGCCACTGCAGGTCCCATTGATGACGACACAGTCCTCACATCCAGTGACACCCTCTTCATCCTGGAGGTATCTACTCTCTCCCTCCATTGCTGTCTGTGGGAGAAGGCCAGAATGGATAGGAAGGAAGGAGACAGGTAACATTGGGCTCCTGAACCCTATCCCAGGTCCCTCATCAAACTCAGGCTCAGGGTTTGGTTCCATGTACCAAGTAGCCCAGAAGGCTCAGAGGCCAACACTCAGAGCTGGGGACTGAGACGTTAACTGATGCATGGCAACTCTTCAAACAACATCATTCAAGGCATGCTTGCCCCAGACACGCTAGGTTCCCATCTGTCCCGGCCCTTTCTCCCTGCTCAGCTTCTGCAGAGCCTCAAGAAGCCAGTGCACTCATTTCCCTCATGACCCCCTTGTTCGCTCTGTCTCCAGGTCTCCTTCCCTCTGACCCTCCTCTCAGACAGGCTTCTCTCCTCTCCATGGCAGCATAAGCTCCACCCCGGCCCATCCTCTGGGGCCCATTGGTCAGTTGGCCTGTCACTCACTCCCTCCCTCATCAGCTGGGGGTGAATCCCAAGTTCTGAAGGGAAGGAAGGATACAGGGAAAGGGGTGGCAAAGGGCTGTGGCAGTCATCGGGAGTGACAGCTGACCTGCTGTGGCCACACTCCACCTCCAGGACTTGTGAGCCAGCTGAGACAGTGAGCCAGGTCCTCACTGACGGCCCGTAGGCTTGTGTGTCCTCTGCCCTGGCTCACACAACATTGTGAGCACCAATTGGGCACATACACACACACACACACACACACACACACACACACACACACGAAACTGCTGCCCCTTTATCTGGAGGGCTGCAATTGCCCCTTTATCTGGAGGGCTGCAATCCTATTTTGGAGAAATAGGGAAAAGATATACCAGGTAAGCGCTCAAGGATTCATCAGCAAGGGCAACTGGGGCCAAATATGCCATGGTAGCACGAGAACTGAAAGCTGGTAGCCTGGGCTAACAGGGAGAAGGTGTCTCAAAGCAAAAAAAAAAAAAAAAAAAAAAAAAAAAGACATGGCAAGACAATAGATTCAGTTCTTAGCATTTAAAAAAAAAGTTAGGTCAGAAGATTGTAACGGGAGCTGGAGAGATGGCTCAGTGGTTAAGAGCACTGGCTGCTCTTCCAGAGGACCTAGGTTCAATTCCCAGCACCCACATGGCAGCTCACAACTGTCTGTAACTCCAGTTCCAGAGGACCCAACATCCCCCACACAGACATACATGTGAGCAAAACTCCAATGCACATAAGATAAAGAACAAATCATTAAAAAAAAAAAAAAAAAGTGTGAGGCCGGGCAGTGGTGGCGCATGCCTTTAATCCCAGCACTCAGGAGGCAGAGCCAGGTGGATCTCTGTGAGTTCGAGGCTAGCTTGGTCTACAGAGCGAGATCCAGGACAGGCACCAAAACTACAGAGAGGAACCTTGTCTCAAAAAAAAAAAAATGTTAGAGTTGGGCTGGTGAGATGGCTCAGCGGTTAAGAGCACTGGCTGCTCTTCCAGAGGTCCTGAGTTCAATTCCCAGCAACCACATGGTAGCTCACAACCATCTATCATGAGATCTGGTGCCCTCTTCTGGCCTGCAGGGATACACGCAGACAGAGCACTGTATACATAATTAATAAATAAATCTTAAAAAAAAGAAAAATGTTAGAGTTAGCCACCACAACAAAACAAACCACACAAGCAACCCATAGATGCACATTTGTCACTTCGGAGGTGGAGGCTCCGGTTTCTGCCGCTGAAGACAGCCTGGGCCACTCAGGGAAACTAAAAAGTTAAATAAAACTATCTGAAAAGTGGACCGAGGATTGGGGATAGAAAAGGCTAAAAGCTAAAGGTCTCTGTTTGAGGCAGGGTCTACGCCCATAGCTTAGGCTTCCGGGAACTCACATTAAACACACGGGAGCCTCCGAACTGAGCCCTCCCAAAAGCTCCAATTACACACCTGAGCCATCCTTCCCGCCTTGCCTTTGCTTTAAAATCCATGTTGGGTTTGCAAAAACTAAGCCAAGTCAAAACAGTTTTATGAAAAACAAAAAACAAAAAAACAGTATTATGATCTACAACAGCGTTTCTCAACCGTTGGTTCGTAAACCCCTTGCGTGTCAAAGAACCCTTTCACAGGGTTCGTCTAAGACCGTCGGAAAACACGGATATTTATTACATTGTATAACAGTAGCAAAATCACAATTATGAAGTAGCAACGAAAATGATTTTCTGCTTGGGAGCCACCACAGCATGAGGAACTGCAGTAAAGGGTCGCAGCGTCAGGAAGGTCGAGAACCACTGTCTACAAGAACTGCTCAATCAAGTTACCAATCATCACCACAGAAAAAGAGACTCAATGTTTTAAGTAAGTTTACAATTCTGTGTTGGATTGCACACAGAGCTACCAGTCTCCGTGGGCAGTAGGTTGCCCAGGCCTGAGCAGGAAAAGGTTCTAAAGCACCATCTTTTCACTTCATGAGGCCGAAGGTGGTCACTCTGAACTTTGCCTAGAGAAAGTTTACTACTGAGTAGCTGCTATCTAGCTCCAGTTTTCTCCTTGCTTCTGTCCCATCCAGACACTCACCGGGAAAAAGGCTATCCTCAGAGAACCTTCTCGAAGCACTTTAGCTGCCTGGGGATGCTATAAGCTTCGCATCCACCAGGGGGCGCGATGTAGCACAGCCCTGGACAATCCATAGACCCAGAGACGCTGTAGTGGGAAGGCATGGATCTCCCTGGGAAGGTGAAATAGACTAGATTTTGTGAGTGGACTGTGGGCAGGTGGAGATGGGAACCGGAGGATCAGGTTGGGGAGGGAGGGACACCGGGAGAGATTATAGGGAAAGGCGAATTGGGCAGCAAAAAGAAAAAAGAAAAGGTCAGGCGGCAGGCAAGCCTGTAGGGCATTTTCTTAGTGATTGATGGTGGAGGGCCCAGCCCATTGTGGATGGTGTCATCCCTGGGTTGGTGGTCCTGGGTTCTGTAAGAAAGCAGGCTGAGCAAGCCATGGGGAGCAAGCCAGTAAGCAGCAATCCTCTGTGGCCTCTGCATCAGCTCGTGCCTCCAGACTTATACGCTGTTTGAGTTACTCGCCTGACTTCCTTCAGCAATGGACTCTGAATGTGGAAGTGTAAGCCAAATACACCCTTTTCTCCCCAACTTGCTTTTGGTCATGGTGTTTCATCACAGCAATAGACACCCTGACTAAGACCCTGGCTGATTAATCTGCTCACTAGAGATTCACTCTGATTACACAGACAAACAGAAGATGAGACTCCTCTGCCCAACATGGCCCAGTGCTGGGACTTTGTTCTCAACACGAGGACTCTCTGGGCTCCCCACAGCCTAGGGAAGTGTCTGATCCAGTCCCATCAGCGAGGCACCATGACTTGGGAGAACAAACTAGCTGACTGCGGCCAGTTCCTGAGGCCAGAAAGGCAGACTTTCAGGAAAGCCGCTGGCCTGTGTTCAGAAGGAGCATTTCCCCTCAGACCACATCGGTGTCACCAAGTAATCTGAGGGGCCTGCCGTGAGTGGGAGGCTGGACCCTGGTGGGACGCTTGAGGATTCACTCCCTCAAGGCACACCGTGAGGGGGCGGCATGCTGGAGTCAGGAGCTGGGCTGGAGTCAGAGGCCTAAAGCAAGGACATGCATGACCTCATGCAGGGTCAGTGGTGGGTTCCCACACAGCCTTGGACTTCAGTCCCTCAGACGGGCCCTAACTGGGTCACCAGAAGCCAGACAGGAGTGTGCCCTCTTCCTACATGAGTCCAAGCAGACCTGCTGCCCAGAGCTGACAATGATTAACCACCTCAGACCTTCCCCCAGGGCATGACAGTGCCTAGGAAGCCAGCGTCTGACGGGTGGGCAGCACACCTTCCCAAAAGCACATCAGTATCCCACAAAACTCCTGCCTGGACCCACAGCCAGGGTCAGGGCCTGGGCTAGCCTGGGCTGCGTAGTGACAGCCCTGTCATTACTGCCCATTACCTGGGTGCCCAGGATGAACTGTACAGAGGACTGTGCCTCCCTCACAATGCACAACTCAGTGTCATGGCAGAAACTTTTTTGTTGTTTTGGCTTTTTGAGACAGGGTCTCGCACGATCAGGCTGGCTTTGAACACACAACAATCCTCCTGCTTCAGCTTCCACAGTAGTGAGATTATACATATGAACCTGGTTTATTAAAAAACTTCTTAGCTGGGGATGGTGGCACATGCTTTTGTTCCCAGCACTCAGGAGGCAGAAGCAGGCAGATCACAGTAAGTTCAAGGCCAGTCTGTTCTGCATAGAAAGTTCCAGGTGAGCCAGGGCTACATAGTGTGACCCTGTCTCAACAAACAAACAAACAAACAAACAAACAAATATAAATTATTTTTCTCCAAGTTTGAGGGATAGTTCCTGAGATGGGCTAGCCTGGGCTGCGTAGTGACAGCCTGCTTTGTGAAATTCTCTATTTTATTAGCTACTGTCACGGCCTTGCAGCCTCTAATATGCAGGTTCTGTGGCCACGACTAAAATCTGCCTAAAATAGTTCCTGTCCTCTATCCACATTCTACCGACAGGCCCAACAAGTCCAATTCCCGTGACTCAGGATAAAAAAAAAAAAAAAAAAAAAAAAAAAAAAAAAAAAAAAAAAAAAAAAAAAAAAAAAGGCAGGGAACATTATGGAAACATTGAAAGAGAAGGGAGCCCCTCACCCAAGAGTCCAGGTGAAGTCCCTGGCCAGCTGAACATCTAGAATTCCAACACAATTAACATTTGCTTAAGGCCTTTCTCTGTCCCCAACTATAAAACTACAATCTGCTAAGAATCTCACCAGAAAACCCACTGACGGGAAAAGATACATCCTAGCCGCTTGAACAATCCTAACAGCTCCTGAGCTTTTTATCAGATTAGAATTCTGAGACCACTTCCTGTTGCCTGTGGGTCAACACGTAGGACGCTCAGCTCCTTCTCCAGCACCATGTCTGCCTGCACACCACCATGTTACTCAGTGAGGATAATGAACTAAACCTCTGAAAATGTAAGCCACCTCAACTAAATGTTTTTCCTTAAAAGGAAAAAAAAATTCCATCCCGGTCACTCTGGAGCTGCTTTATAATCCCATTTTTCAGAAAGAGAGAGAAGAAAAAAAAATGGTGTCTTAGAAACCTTTTGAAATTAACTTGACAGCCACGAAAATGGTATATATGGCTGATGCTAAGACATGTAGAGATGGCTCTCCCTTTGAAGACCACACCACACCTGGTGTCTTACCTTAGCCTGAGTCTCTTCGTCTAGATGTCTTGCTTAAATCTACGTTTAAATGTTTTTTAATAAATAGTTCTCTTTTTAAACTTGTATGTATTGTTGTGGTTTGAATAGGAATGGCCCGCATAGGTTCATATAATTGATTGCTAGTCAACAGGGAGTGGAATTGTTTGAAAGGATTAGAAAGATTAGGAGGTGAGGCCTTGTTGGTGGAAGTGTGCTCAAGGGGGGTGGGCCTTTGAGGCTTCAAAAGTCCAGGTCAGGCCCAGTCTCTCTCTTGCTCTCTGCCTGCGGCCTGCAGATCAGGATGTAAAGCTCTCAGCTACTGCTCCAGCGCCACATCTTTCTGCCCCCCACCATGATGATAAGGGACCAACCCTCTGAGACTGCAAGCAAGCCCTCAGCTAAATGCTTTCTTATGTAAGAGTTGCCTTGGTCATGGTGTCTCTTCACAGCAATAGGATAGTGACTAAGGTCTGTGTGTGTGTGTGTGTGTGTGTGTGTGTGTGTGTGTGTGTGTACATGTTATATGTGTATGCATACACTAATACCACAGTATTCACGAGGAGGGCAAATGCCATCTGGCTGGAGTAAGCTCTTGGCTTCTCCCATGTGGATCTCTGTGGAGCCAAGTGCCTCCCCCCGCCCCTACCCCGAGCCATTTTTTTCAGCCCTGTGATTCTTTATTGAGAAATTGACATTTATGGTTTCTGGCAAAATTTTATATTTTTTCCTGAGCATTTTTCTATTTTTAATAAACACCCCAACTCTGTTTCATGCTGGCCTGTTCTAGAATCTTTTCTGTGCTGAAGCTTCAAATCTTGGGTTTGCCTAAGTCACTGGGGAGAACAGTGTGGAGCTGTGCCTGTTTCCAGTCACTGCTATCAACCTCGAATGTGCTGCTGCAGTTCCTGTAGCCGGGACACCGTCCCTGTCACAACCGCCACTGCAGCCACAGGCCTCTTTACTGCCCAGACTTCAAAGCCAGGACGGGTCCTCTCCTGGGCCTCTCTTCCAGGATCTCCAAGAGGATGGGCCTGAGTAATTAATGCCTAGCTGCAGGAGGAGGCCTTGGGGTTCAATTCCAGCACTAAAAACTGATTCAGAAATATAAATCCCCCACCTGATAATAAGGTAGTTTTTTTTTTGTTTTTGTTTTTGTTTTTTTTTTTTTTTTTTTTTTTGAGAGCTTACAGTGTACCACCTGCTACTAGGTGTTTCACCTAGTTAATTTTATAGAAACCCATTTAATCCTTCATCGTAGATGTTACTGTTTTGGTGGTGGTGGTGGTGATTTTGTTTGTTTGTCATTGGGATAGGTGTTGTTTTAAAAATAATAAATGGTGTTGGTTACCATGCAGAAAGGTCACAAGCCATGACAAAACCCAGTTATCAGAGCTTTATTAGTGGCAGCAGCGGGAAGGGGGGGGACGGAACAACACAAAAGAACCAGGCCTGGGGAAGAAGCACAGAGCAGACAGAGAGAACAGAGAAGAGACAGCAGGGGGAAGAGAGAATGGAGAGGAGAGAGGAGGAGTCTGTGTCTAGCTTTTTAAGGATCCCCATGCACGTGCACAGCTGGGCTTACAGAGCTACGCCATGCATGCGCTGATGGCGTGCGCCCGCCATGAGCACATAATCATGCAGCGCGCAGCGTGCACTGATGACGTAAGACCCCTTGCTTAGCTGCTGAACTGCACGTGTGGCCATGCAGCTGGAGGAGCGGCAGTATCCTACCATCCCAGACTTTTGGCTTATTATAAAAAGGTGGGTGAACAGGAATAGGGACATCGTTTCTCCTGGAAAAACGGCTTCCAGCGGACTCGGTGGGCGTCAGTTGACTCTTGGGGGGGTGGGGAGTAGGAAGGAGGCTTCTGACGTAGACAGGCATCCTGGGGTGATGGACAGGCTGTCGTCTGCTGCCTCGGAGCTGTTCATCTTTCTTGGCTTGGCAATCTGGCTGCTTGTGTCTGACAGGATGCTGATGAGACTGAGAAAAGCTTAGAAAAAATTTATTATTTTTAGTTTTTCCTTGGGGGGGGGGGGTTCCCAGGGTGACAGAGGGGATCCCAAGACCAGGAAAGTTCGGGTTTGGCACTTATCTGAAGTAGATCCAACCTGTCCAGATGGATTTAAGCTAGATTCTGGAGCTTAGAAAAAAAAATTTGAACATATTAAGAAGCAGCCATGAGAAAAATTAAAGGCTTGGGCTGCTGACCCTTGTAGTGTTTGGTACTCTGCTTATATTGGTTAGTGTTAATGAGAGAGAGAGAGAG